TTTTTTAGCAGCTGTATTTCTAGTGTTTTGGTCACATCTCTCATGTTGTGATTTTCATTTTAGCATCAATTGCAATAAGAGTTAATACATCAGCTGTGATGAATTTAGGGATTATTGTTGAACCACTAAATCCATGAAATATAATCATTGCTGGAACTTCCCTGTTCTCCAACATGCAGCTTGTCTGGTGCTGTGCGACAAAAATACACGCTGTTCTTTTTCAAAGATTAGAGACTGAAATTTGTTTGCATGCGATGTAGGTTGTATTGTAAAACCAGCTGATGAGCGCACTCCCGGTCTGGCCTCTTCCTTTCTCTGGATGAATCCTAAAGGAGCTTAAACTCTAATATCCTGATGGGAAAAGGGTTTGCTTTAAGCTTGCAGCATGCACTGAATCCCCACGAGGATGCTGCAAAGGGCTGAAAACTATCAGTCGCATCTCCTAAAAGGACTTCCTCTTGATGTCCGCCCGTTGGGTGCAAATATGAAAGCGCCTGGCTCCTTTTGGGATGGCTTTTGTCCTTTTCAAGAAAAAATTTTAGCAGCAGAAAAGTGACGAGAAATCAGATTTTTGGGCTTGGAACATTGTTCCTTAAGTTTGTAGATATGATTCCAACGAAGCTGTTGGTGTACAGAGCACCTGATGGAGACACGCGTTCTTACACGGTTTCTAATACGAGAAGACGCAAGAAATCGACTGGAGAGCTCTTTCAGAATGGCTACAGGGTCAGGATGGGCCTTGGGCAGGTCAACGACAAAGAGGACCAGGACAGCTTCTGCTTCAGCCTCGGTGGATGCTTCCACCTAATCTCCTACTGGGGTAAGACCTGCAGGACATGGAAACGAGGGGAAGCTTTAAATTGGCATGTCCTGAATGATTTCGACTCTTTGAGTCTGCTGGAGCTGGTTCAAGGTCTGGCAGGTGATGTTTTAGCTCCCTGGCTGGGGAACATACCCATTAGAAATGAAAACTGCACAGTGGGAACGCAGCTCACTTCATTCAATAGATTTATTTACCTTTTTTTTCAGCTGAATAGCCGGAGTAGTTTTGATTTGTGTGATTTGGCTTTCGCACTAAATTTGATCCTGCGGAGGGATTCATCAAACAAATTAATGCAGACGGATTTTACTTGGTCATAATTCATCATGCACCTTTTATTTGCAGCTTGTACCAATTTTTTTTATTTTATTTTAGCAGAGTGCACTCCGATATTAGTAAGAGAATATTTTAGGGAATTTTTTTTACACCCCCCAAAAATACTGTTTTAATTTATAAAGTCATAATTTAACTTGATGCAGAAGCTGTTGGTTATGTCATCCTCGAACTGTTGGCAACAGACACTAGCTTCATTTTTTTTCTTCCCTAAATTCCCTTAAATTTGGGATTTGACGTCACATCTGTTTACTCGTTGAGTTCGCCTTTGGAGCGTCCACCTGTCATTAATCCAGGTTTTCATCTGGTCCATGTTCTGAGGTTTGAATCAGGTGGATGCGATGTGAGACTCGCAGGACTAAGAAAAGATGCGCTCTGGGTTGCCGAGGACACAGATGAGATGCAGAGCTTCTTTTTGTATTTATTATTATACTAAAATGTTTCTTTTCATACAGTAAGTACTTAGTGTTGCTTGTTCAGCCCGGAGTTACTTTTTAAAATTATTATGAACCCTTTGAAGCTGGTAAAAATGGACGAAAGCATGAAAGGTACACCGCTGTCGTCGAGCTACAATTTAACGTCATTGATATAATTTGTTGACGTTTCTTTCATTTCTTTTCCGACAGGTTTGAGGTTTTTAAGGGCCTTAAGGCTGATACAGTTCTCAGAAATTTTACAGTTTTTGAACATACTAAAAACAAGGTAAGTTCAGAAACTTTCATTTTTCATTAAACAGCCTGTAATGTTTAATTCACCTGGTTGTGTTGAAACGAATACGCTGTGACCACAACCCTGAGCGTGGTTTTAATTTGAAAGAAAATGAGCGTTTTAGTATTTTTCGGAAACGCGTACACTTTTTAATTTGATCAACTATCACCAGTTAAGTTTACACAGTTAAGAACGTGATGACACATGACATGCTGCACTCCATCCAGTCTTGAATGAAACGAGTTTTTCTTGCTGCTGAGAATTAAAGCTTTTGGAACAGATGTCAGCAACAGTTTATAGCCGAACCAAATCCTTCAGAATAATCTCCTTAGTCATTGACTGAAATGAAAGTCGCACACAAAGAAGGGAACAAGCACTTTATACACCAAGACGCGTTATAATGCAGCATTTAAAGTACATTACGCTTTTATAAACCCAAACACATCTGCTTTTAAAAATGCATGTTTCGGCAACATTTTTTTTACAGCTTTCTTTTGTAAAAGTAAATTATATTTTCTGCACATTTAGGAAAATATTTTGGCGGTTTGGAAACATTCTTCACTCTATATGCATGCTCTATTTTTTGCTTCATTAAAAATGCTTCTTGAATAACTCACGACTGAAGTAATTTTTGTCTTTTTGTGACACTTTTGAAAACAGCAACTCGATTAAACTGGTCAACTTGTGTTCGATCTTCATAAGCACATGGCTAACGGCAGCCGGGTTCATCCATTTGGTAAGTTGTTGGCAGCCATCAAGGAAAACGTATCGGTTGTATAATGCTGAAAAGCTGCACAACTTTATATATAAGAGCCATCTGGATCACACTTTAACACTTGTTTTGAGCGTTGATGGTTTTATTGTGAACTTTGGATGCTGCAGTTTGATTTGCTGTGAACAAAACTGTCAGTTTTAAGCAGCATTTTAACCAGTGAAGCTAAATAAAATAAAATCCACACTAGGCCTGTCGCGATAAACAATAAATCAATTAATCGCATGATAAATTAAAATTATCTACCTCCTTTTCATTTATCGGCTTTATCGTTTCTTCATGTCTCTCTCTTTCTACTGAATACACTGGATGACAAAAAGCTCAACTCCGCTGCTCTTCACTGACCCCTCCCTTTCTCTTTTCTCTTTAAAATTTGTTTTGACCATTCAAAATTGCGTTTTTGTATTGTTAAAAGCAGCTAAGCTACGAGCTAAGCTAACAGGCCAACCTTGGGGAAAAAACCTCTGTCTTGTTGATGCTCCAAAATTTACGGTTGAAACTCGTGCCTTCGTGTAAAAAGTTGTTTTTCTCTGCAAAAAGAAGCTGAGAACTTGTTTCCTGATTTTTTTTTTTTTTTAAATTAAAAACTTTGTATGAAAAATGCTATGCTAAAGAGCTCAAAACACACCAAGCGTCTGCCATTTTGAGAACCGGAGAGAGCCCATGTCACGTCAAGGGACCTCCCTCCCATTTTTCTTAGAAACGCACTGCTTGCTCCCTCACTATCCATCCTAAGGCTCAAGCAGTCTTATACTGCCATCCGGTGGTCTAAAAAAGGTACTACATGCAAAACAAATTAAACATTTCCTATTAAATTTGACAATAATTACAAATTATTGTCAAATTTCAAACAATATTATCGTTTATTGCAATAATTTCTGAGACAATTAATCGCCCAGCAAAATTATGTTATCGTGACAGGCCTAATCTACACCTCTGTGCTAAACTGTAAAGTTTGACAGCACCATAGATCTGTTCATTCTCCAGAAATGAACCTTATTCTGTCGTATTTGCAGCAATTCGTTGTTTGCTCAGTTTGACATTTCTACAGGATTTAGTGAACAAGTAAACTTCACAGCTGCCAGGGACAAGGATTGGACAAATGGGGATAGGGTGTCCTGTTCAGAGACAACACGAGAGGTGCAAGCCGACCGAGAGACATGAAGGTCTACTTGACAAATTTGCACGGCTCACCTTTAATTATAGTATTAATAATAATACATTTACATACATGTGAATACATGACTGCCTGATCACATCTGATCTGACCTGTCTTATTAAAGACTCCACACAATATTTATCAGTAAGGCTTTAGTTTGGTAAATATGATCAATTATTATTGATAATTAGTGATTAGAACTCTCAATCGAGAACTTGAGTCCCCAGTTTTAATCCTTTTTTGGCTCTTCTGTGCAACTGTAAATAGTTCCTAGCTGTGACTGGGAGTGTGTGTGGTTGTTTGTCTCTTTGTCTGTCTCTGTGATGGACTGGAGACCTGTCCTGGGTGTCCCCTGCCTTCACCCAAAAACAGCTGAGATTGGCTCCGGTCCTAAACAAGGGGGCATAAACAATGACTTATTTACTGATATAAACATAAAACACTATTTCTTTATGTTGAACTCAATCTGTAACGTTTGAAATTCTGTGCATTTTATATTTTAATAACTGTTTTGTATGAATGAACACATTTGTAACATTCATTCAAAACATGCCTTTTACTATTAACAAATCTGTAGCATTTTTTTAAGAACCTATTAAGAATAAAATCTTCCAATCAAGCCCTGTTTGCACTAACTGTTGTATTTGTAACATTTCAGAATAACTCTTGCAGATACAAAATATCAGTAATGTAATATAATAAACAAAGTGACGTTTTTAAATGAATCATGTGACATTAGTGTTGATCCTCAGATCTGCAGCATTTTTTTAATAATAATAATAATAATACTTTATTTATAACCACAGCTGCAACAAAGTGCTGTACATATAAAACCTTTTTAACTAATCATCACATCTTTTACTCTTTTTAAATACATTATTTTTCACATATTTCATCATTGCTTCTTTGAAGAGCTCCACACCTGAAAATGCCTCATGAAAAACATCTGCATGCTCAACTCAACTGCCTTGGGCTAGTTAGCAGTGAAGCTAGCGTGTTAGCTGATGAATTGTTGCTCCACGTTGTTTTTCTGTCGCCACAGCCCACTAATGAGACATAGACACACTTCAACACTGTGAAAGACCTTTTCCTCCCAGTCACTGTGCAAATGTTTTCTTACTTGTTTCTGTACTAGCTTGTAGTTGCGCCGCTGCAGAGATGGGAGTGGTCCATGCATGATTCTGAACTTTGACCCCAAACAAGATTGCTAAACTGTATACATAAAACTATTTCTTTTCTTTTTTTTTAGTTTATTAATCATTTTCATTTCAAATATACATCCTTATAAATATTATTTCTTAAATTTAAAAATATAATTAATGACGATTTTTACATGGTGCTCCTTGATGAGTGCTATTTTTAGAACATGCCCCGTGGGCGAATCAAGAGGTCCCTGCGGGCAACCAGGTGCTCGTGGGCACCGTGTTGGTGACCCCTGCTCTACACCATCTCAACTCCAAATTGAGCGCAAAATAGTGGAAATTATCTGACAAAAGCTTAAATTGGAAATAAAAAAAACAAACTGAAAAGTGGCTAAAAAGGCTGAAAGAAGCTTAAATTACCAGAAGGAAGTGGTGAGAGCACATTTTTTTCTAAATTAGGCTGATAAAAGTTAAATTGGCTTGAGAACTGGGATGAGAAACGTGCCGAAGAAAAATGGATCACAAAATTGTGAAATGAATCGTAAACATTCACACATTTATCGTCTAGAAATCACATCTGTAATATGTTGCATTGTTCTGATTTCATTGCCTCTAACAATTACATCATGTGGTTTTGTGAACTTCTCTTTCAGGTGGAAAACTCAGGGGATCCTTGGGAAAACTTCCAAAATTCCCAAGCGCTTTCCTACTGGGAATGTGTCTACTTGCTAATGGTGACCATGTCCACTGTGGGCTACGGAGACGTTTATGCAAAAACAACCCTTGGCCGCTTGTTTATGGTCTTCTTTATCCTTGGTGGTTTGGTAAAAATCTCTCGTTACATATTCCTGCTTCAAAATACTTGATGCAACCAGTCATCGCACTCCATCAGTTGTTATGAAGTGCTGGGCCTGAACTCAGGACCCCCTTCATCTTGTTTTTACACCACTTGAGTAGCAGGTCATGCACCCTACGAGCTGTATTGCAAAGTGTAATACTGACATTTTAACTTGTTACATACTGATTCATTTGTGTCATGTAAAGTACCTGAAATGTTTTGCTTTTTTTTAATTACTTGTAAAAGTATTACTTTTAAGTTGCCCCTGATCCCTTCCTTCCCCTTCTTCTTTCAACAAACACGCTGTCATGGGGATGATTTACTGAAGCTCAGCTTTACAAATGCAGCAGCATTACCCCGTCTCACTCTGCACTATTCAGCCTTAAAATTTAGATTGTACTGTGCCGTGAGTTTACAGATCAGTTATTAGCTGAGCAGTCTTCAGGGGTAAAATAGAAAGCAAAATGCACACGTGACCTAGGCGGTAACTGATGTGGATAATTCAGATATCGTATCATCCGTTGCGTTCACTGGACGTTGCCAACATGTCAGTTCTGTGGTCTCGAACCAAAGCTATCTGGTCAAGAATCTTATTGTAGAAGTTGCCGTAATCAAATCACGATGTTTAGTTCAGGCTGAACAAAGTGTAACTGATGTTTTAGACAAAGTTGAATTTCTTTGGACTGTCTTACTGGATTTCTTCATTCTTAAATAATTAAAATTAGTTATGTAGAAGGAAATCTGAGCTGTATAAGAACAACGTGCTAAAATAGAATCTTTAAAGAAACCAGCTAATTTAAAGTCTAATATTGCTGGGAAAACAAAGTTATAAACAACAAACTATACATATATATATTCAATTCAGTTTATTTGTATAGTGCCAAATCACAACATACTGTAAGTTATCTCAGGGCACTGAACAAAAACAAGTCTAAGGAAGGACGCCAGCGGACGCGTTGAGTCTTCATTTTGTCACAGCAGCGGACGCGTTGAGTCTTCATTTTGTCACAGCCTCCCATCCTGAGCTAGCACAAAGACAGCAGTGGAAAGGAAAAACTCCCTCGATGGGAAGAAACCTCCAGCAGAACCAGGCTCAGGACAAGCGGTCATCTGCTTCGACCGGCTGGGTTTGAGAGGACAGGAAGGAGAAAGAGGCACAGAATGGCAGGTCCAGAATGGAGGCGAGCAGATGAGCAGGTCCCTCACCAGGAGGAAAGACAAAAAAACACAAACACACACGTTAAGAAAGAAACTATTACAAATACAAACGTTTCATTTGATGAAATGAGGTCAATTTGTCCTCCCATCAATTTAAGCCTATAACAGCATAACTAAGGGATAAGTGAGGAAACCCAATCCCAACCTAACTATAGGATTTATCCAAAAGGGAAGACTTGAGCCTAGTTTTAAAAGTAGTCAATGTGTCAGCCCCATGGACAGAAACAGGAAGTTGTTTCCACAAGAGAGGAGCCTGATAACTGAAGACTCTGCCTCCCATTCTGTTTTGGAAACTCTAGGAACCACATGTAAACCTGCAGTCTGTGTTCTGTTAGGAAAATATGGAACAATAAGATCTATCTATCTATCTATCTATCTATCTATCTATCTATCTATCTATCATCTATCTATCTATCTATCTATCTATCTATCTATCTATCTCCATCCATCTATCGATAGAGATATGTCGATATAGAGATATACCAATAGAGAGATATATAGAGATATATCGATAGAGAGAGATATAGAGATATATCGATAGAGAGAGATATAGAGATATATCGATAGAGAGAGATATAGAGATATATCGATAGAGAGATATTGATAGAGAGATATAGAGATATATCGATAGATATATCGATAGAGAGATATATAGAAATATATCGATATAGAGATATATCGTTAGAGAGAGATATATTGATATAGAGATATATCGATATAGAGATATATCGATAGAGAGAGATATAGAGATGTATTGATAGAGAGAGTTATATCAATATAGAGATATATCGATAGAGAGAGATATAGAGATTATTGATAGAGAGATATATCGATAGAGAGAGATATAGAGATATATCGATAGAAAGAGATATAGAGATATATCGATATAGAGATATATCGATAGAGAGAGATATAGAGATATATCAATAGAGAGAGATATATCAATAGAGAGAGATATATCGATAGAGATAGATATCGATAGAGATAGATATCGATAGAGAGAGCTATCGATAGAGATAGATATCGATAGAGATATAGAGATATATCGATAGAGATATATTGATATAGAGATATATCGATAGAGAGAGATATAGATAGATATCGATAGAGATAGATATCGATAGAGAGATATATCGATAGAGAGATATATCGATAGAGAGATTTATCGATAGAGATATATATTGATAGAGAGATATATCGATAGAGATAGATATCGATAGAGAGAGATATAGAGATATATCGATAGAGATATATTGATATAGAGATATATCGATAGAGAGAGATATAGATAGATATTGATAGAGATAGATATCGATAGAGAGATATATCGATAGAGAGATTTATCGATAGAGAGATATATCGATAGAGAGAGATATATCGATATAGAGATATATCGATATATCTCTCTCTATCGATATAGAGATATATCGATAGAGAGAGATATAGAGATGTATTGATAGAGTTATATCGATATAGAGATATATCGATAGAGAGATATATAGAGATATATCGATAGAGAGATATATCGATAGAGAGAGATATAGAGATATATCGATAG